CCAAAATATAGCAGAGGGAGGAACACTCCCAAACTCATTCTACGAGGTCACCATCACCCTGATACCAAAACCAGACACAGATGTCACAAGGAAAGAAAACTAAAGGCCAATATCACTGATAAACATAGATGCAAAAATCCTCAACAAAATACTAGCAAACAGAATCCAACAGCACATTAAAAGGATCATACAACATGGTCAAGTGGGGTTTATCCCAACAATGCAAGAATTCTTCAATATATGCAAATCAATCAACGTGATAAACCATATTAACAAATTGAAGGAGAAAAACCATATGATTATCTCAATAGATGCAGAAAAAGCTTTTGACAAAATTCAACACCCATTTATGATAAAAACTGTCCAGAAAGTAGGCATAGAGGGAACTTACCTCAACATAATAAAGGCCATATATGACAAACCCATAGCCAACATCGTTCTCAGTGGTGAAAAACTGAAACCATTTCCTCTAAGATCAGGAACAAGACAAGGATGTCCACTCTCACCACTGTTATTCAACATAGTTCTGGAAGTTTTAGCCACAGCAATCAGAGAAGAAAATGAGAGCTAATCAATGAATCTGGTAAGGTAGTAGGATCCAAAATTAATGCACAGAAATTTCTTGCATTCCTAAACACTAATGATGAAAAATCTGAAAGAGAAATTAAGGAAACACTCTCATTTACCATTGCAACATAAAGAATAAAATACCTAGAAATAAACCTATCTGAGGTGGCAAAAGACCCGTACACAGAAAACTATAAAACACTGATGAAAGAAATCAAAGATGACACAAACATAAGCAGAGATATACCACGTTCGTGGATTCGAAGAATCATTATTGTGAAAATGACTATACTACCCAAAGCAATCTACAGATTCAATGCAACCCTTATCAAACTATCAATGGCATTTTTGGCAGAACTAAAACAAAAAATTTCACAATTTGTATGGAAAAACAAAAGAGCCCGAATAGCCAAAGCAATCTTGAGAACGAAAAACGGAGCTGGAGGAATCAGGCTTGTGGACTTCAGACTATACTACAAAGCTACAGTAATCAAGACTCTATGGTAGTGGTACAAAAACAGAAATATAGATCAATGGAACAGGACAGAAAGCCCAGAGATAAACCCACACACATATGGTCACCTTATTTTTGATAAAAGAGGCAAGAATATATAGTGCAGATAAGACAGCCTCTTCAATAAGTGGTGCTGCACAAACTGGACAGCTACATGTAAAAGAATGAAGTTAGAACACTCCCTAACACCACACACAAAAATCCACTCAAAATGTATTAAAGGCCTAAATGTAAGGCCAGACACTATAAAACTCTTAGAGGAAACCATAGGCAGAACACTGTATGACATAAATCACAGCAAGATCCTTTTTGACCCACCTCCTAGAGAAATGGAAATAAAAATAAACAAATGGGACCTAATGAAACTTAAAAGCTTTTGCATGGCAAAGGAAACCATAAACAAGACAATAAGACGACCCTCAGAATGGGAGAAAATCATTGCAAAGGAAGCAACTGACAAAGGATTCATCTCTAAATTAGACAACAGTTCATGCAGCTCAATATCAAAAAAAACAAACAACCCAGTCCAAAAGTGGGCAGAAGACCTGAATAGACATTTGTCCAAAGAAGATATACAGATTGTCAACAAACACATTAAAGGATGGTCAACATCGTTAATCATTAGAGAAATGCAAATCAAATCTACAGTGAGGTATCACCTCCCACCAGTCAGAATGGCCACCATCAAAAAATCTACAAACAGTAAATGCTGGAGAGGGTGGGGAGAAAAGGGAACCCTCTTGCACTGTTGGTGGGAATGTAAATTGATACAGCCACTATGGAGAACAGTATGGAGCTTCCTTAAAGAACTAAATATAGAACTACCATACGACCCAGAAATCCCACTACTGGGCATATACCCTGAGAAAACCATAATTCAAAAAGAGTCATGTACCACAATGTTCATTGCAGCTCTATTTACAATAGCCAGGACATGGAAGCAACCTAAGTGTCCACCGACAGATGAATGGATAAAGAAGATGTGGCACATATATGCAATGGAATATTACTCTGCCATAAAAAGAAACAAAACTGAGTTATTTGCAGTGAGGTGGATGGACCTAGAGTCTATCATACAGAGTGAAGTAAGTCAAAAAGAGAAAAACAAATACTGTATGCTAACATATATATATGGAATCTAAAAGAAAAAAAAAATGGTCTGAAGAACTTAGGGGCAGCACAGGAATAAAGACATAGAGAATGGACTTGAGGACACAGGAGGGGGAAGGGTAAGCTGGGACGAAGTGAGAGAGTGGCATGGACATACACACACTAACAAATGTAAAATCGATAGGTAGTGGGAGGCAGCCGCATAGCACAGGGAGATCAGCTCTGTGCTTTGTGACCACCTAGAGGGATGGGAGAGAGACGCAAGAGGGAGGAGATATGGCGATAAATGTATATGTACAGCTGATTCACTTTGTTATAAAGCAGAAACTAACACACCATTGTAAAGCCATTATACTCCAATAAAGATGTTTAAAAAAAAATAAGCTACAAGGATATATTGTACAACACAAGGAATATAGCCAATATTTAATAACTATAAATGGAGTATAACCTTTAAAAATTGTGAATCACTCTATTGTACACCTGTAACTTACATAATATTGTACGTCAACTATACTTCAATTTAAAAAAATCATGTTTGTTTGTTTTTATTGCCTCTCTCCATCCCCACTAGAATGTAAGCACCCTGAGAGTTGAGACCCTGCCTATTTGTTAATGGTTATAGCCTAATGCGTATAGAACACTGCCTGGAACAGGTAAGCACTCAACAAACATTGGGTGAATGAAGAACTGAATGCATTGGCCTAAAATGCATAGTCAAGCCCATCATCAAGTCCTTTCTGTTGATATGTTGTAAATTTCAGGAAAATTTCCCTCCTGAAAGTCACTGAGGTATTTTAACAAGAGATTGGAAATCCTAATTACTCAGTTCACACAATGCTTAGTGAAGCTGCTTTCAATTTATTCGAGAACCTTTTTTTCTCTTGACCTTGCTGATTTAATAACCTTACATTCTGAGAATTTAGAATAAAAAGGAAAAAAGCACCTCGATAGCACTCTTTTTAGCCCAAACAGCTGGATTTAATCCTATGTATCCACATTTTTCATGGCTGTATTTATAGCACAAGGTGATGAATTCCCTGCTCCCATAACTTGAAAGCAATAATTTCACTGTGGGCCTCAGATCATCTCCAAGACATACTACATATGCATATTGCATAGTGCAAATTCAGCAATTTGCTGAAGTACAGCTATCAACATGTGGTTGCAACATGTTAACAGCAGAGCCCTATATTTAAATGAAACATAAGATGCTTTGAAAGCAAGGCAGTCACTGGGCAAGATCCCAAACTACTTTGGTTACTGCCCACAAACACAAAATCAGCAAGTCTCATCGTGTGGGGCTCTGCCAGTCATTCCACCAGGTGAGCAGGTGTGATGCTGCTGGACCCGTGGGGCAGGGGGTGGTCTCAGCCCACGCTTCCTTTAAGAGTGTGAGCTGAAGGCAGCTCCGTCATTTAAAGGTATAGATATGCACTGTCCATAAAACACGCCCAGTAAGTGGAGGACAGTGCTGCTCAACTAAAGGGACAGCGGCTCTACCGGAGATAAAACTGGCTGTTCAGTGCTTAATGAGAGTTTCTCTCCAGAGCCATGCCTTCTGAATGGGTTTTCACAGGCTGACTTTAAAATCCCACCCTGGTTAGGATCGGATTCTACTATACAACAGATAAAGCAGAGTGGCTCTGATGAAGTGACATGGGAGAAACTCCAAGAGCCTCCCCCTCCCTGATGCAGCTTCCCCTGACTTCTTCACCTCTCTAGAGACCAAGTCCTGGGCCATCTGTCGAATGCAGGTAACGTGTGGCTGCCACTGTTGAGTCTGCCCGACAGCAATGACTAAACAGGCCTGACCTGTGGTGAGAGCTCAATAAAGGTGTGCCAACCTGCTGAGGTGGGGCTGAAGATGGATTTGGCAGGATATGTTGAGACAAAAGGAACAGGCATTTCGGTTTGGGGACCAATGGGAAAAATACAGAAACAGGGAGAAGAATTGGCTATTTAGGGAAGAAGATGAGTTTACTGGGGAGAGAGAGTGACACAGAGCAGCAATGGTGGATAAGATCAAAGTGGCAGGTGGAACTGGATGTGGCCCTCCTTGATTCCGGGCTTTGTTGGAGGAGTTATAAGAGTCAAGGCAAGATGGTGCGTCCAGGAGATTCCCTTCTTCTAGTGAGCTCTCTGCCCTGACAGCTCACTGCTGTTTTCCTTTTTAAACAGCATTTTATTTATCTCTGGCTCAAAGGGAGCAGAGAAGAATGAAAAAATGAAAAAGAAGAGTTATTTTAATGAATATTTGTTGAGTATATACTATATGCCAGATATTAGTGGAAGTACTGGAGACACCATAGTGGGCAGGACAGATAACATCTGTGGTCTCATGGAGATAATATTCTAGTGGGGGAAACTGGTAACAAAGCAGCCACTACAAGGAGAACTAAAGATGGTGATGGATGGAATCAGGAGTGATTGAGTGGGCAGAAAGGAACCAATTAGAGTTGATCAAACAAGAGACAATTCCAGGCACAGAGAATAACCAGTGCAAAGACTTTAAGTGTGATGAGCTTGAAGTGTTCAAGGAGCCAAGAGAAAGCCAGGGTAGCCCTAGAAGAATGAGGAGGGAGGCAATGCAGTGGGAGATAGGGTCAAAGAGGAAGATAGGGGCCAGGTCATGCAGGGCTCTGTATAAGGAAAAAGAGTTGGGGTTTAATCTATAGGCAGTTGGAATCCATTAACAGTAAACAAGGTAGTGACATAATCTGAGTTATATGTTCAAAGAGCAATCTGTCTGCAGTTTAGAGAATAGATGATAGAGGTGCAAGAGTAGGAGAGAAAGGGCACCAGTTAGGAGATTGTTTGGATGATCCAAGGCAAGAGAAAATGGGGCCATCGTCTATAGATGTAGATTCAAGAGAAGGAGATTCTTTTGGATCACGTTTTTCAAACAGATCCCACATGACTTAACACTGGGTTGGATGTGGGCGCTGAAAGGAAGAGAGAAGTCAAGGTTACCTTAACACCTAGTTTTCTGGGCTTTAGCATCTGGGTGGCTGTTGCTGCCATTTCCTAGAGTCAACAGATGGAGGAATGGCCTTGGCTGTGGGGAGAGCCCAGAGTTATATTCCACTGTGTAAGTTTGGGGACGCTTACTGAACAGCCAGGTGGAGGTGGCAGACAAGCAATGGGCAACATGAATCCACAGTCCCAGGGAGAAATCAACACCAGTCTATATGTCGGGGAGCCATCAGCACAGAGATAGTTGTTAAGCCACAGGGCTAAATGAGGTCACCTAGAGAGACTCATATAGATATAGATGGAGAAAGAAGCCCAAGACTGCTCTGAGACATCCCAAGATTTAGAGGTTGAGTGAAAGACAAGGCAAAAGAAACAGAAGTGTCACCCAGTCAGGTAGGGAAAAAGCCAGGAGAGTGAGAGGTCACAGAAGCCAAGGGAATAGAGCGTTTCAAGAAGGGATACTTCTGGGAGACCACACAACGTAAAACCCAAGAAATGCCCACCACTGGATCTGACAACATGAAGATGGTTGGTACACTTGAAAAGCAGTGTCTCAGTGTGGTGGTGGGAATCTGTTTCAGTTGTCTGTCACTAAGTAACAGATCACCAAGTACTTACAAAGAACTTGAAAAGAACAATTTATTATTTCTCATCATTCTGTGCGTTGACTGGCAGTTCCTCTCTTCCACGTAGTATCGGGTGGTGAGTTGGGATGATTACAGTCATCTGGAATCATCAAGCTGGAACATCCAGCATGGATGGAATTTAATGCTGGCAGTCAGCTGGGAGCTCCACTTGGGCTATGGACCAAACTGACTACATGTGGCCTCTCCACGTAGCTTAGGCTTCTCACGGCATCTCAGTTTTGAGAAGGAGTGTCGCAAGAGGGACCAGACCACGAGACACACCCAGGCAGAAACTGCAGGGATTCTGATGAGCTAGCTTCAGAAGTCACGAAGCACTGCTTCTACAATGTCCTACTAATCAAAGTAAGCCCAGAATCAAGGGGAGGGAAAATAGTCTTCACCTTCCAATAGGAGGTTAGCAAAGAAACTGTGGCCATCTTTAATCTTCCACAGGACCACAGCCTGATGGAAGTGACAGGAGAATTTGAGGCAAGGAAGGGGAGAGAGAAACCACAAATAACTCAAAATTACCTGCACTCAAGTTCACGAACTTGGCTTAAAAAGAAAAAAGAAAAAAAGGCAAGGCCTTCATTATGACCCTACTAGTAATTCTGCTAAGTTTAACTTTCCATTTTACAAACCTACCAAAACTAAGAAGTATAAAATTAGGTAGGGATAAAATATAAAACAGCAAAAGTACTAGGAGAAAATAGGGATAAAGTCATACGAAGATATAGCGGGCGACCTTCCTATAAACTCTGACAATGGGAGCCACAAAGGGAAAGACATTTTGACCAGATGAATATTTTAAATTTCTATTCATCAAAAACTAGAATTTAAGAAGTCAACCAAAAACTAGGAAATGTATTAGGAACATCACTATTTAAATAATTCTCGCAAAGCAAGAAGAAAAACAAACACCCCAATGGAAAATGGGCAAAGGATACATATATACAAAAGAAGAAAATAAAATAGCCAATAAACAGATTAATAAAACATTTCAACTTCATTGGCAATCAGAGAATGGCATGTTTTGAAAATCTCACGGGCAGTGTCTTTTATGTGAACAGCAAAATAGGCAAGGTTCGTGGGAAAAGGCACTTCCATACACTGCCAGAGAAAGCATGGAGAGAAATTTAGCACATACGTATCAAAAATCCAGCTGCGTAAGATGTACTGGTGCTCTACAAACACAGACCATTGTTCTTCGGCATCATCCGACCTTTGCCAGACCCCCTCCACCTCTCTGGGTTTCCTGACTCCAGCACTCTTCATTGCAGGAAAACGCTCTTCGTCACTCTAAAGCCAGCTTAGATGTTAATTCTTCCAGTTAATTCTTCCACTCCGCTCCGAGACAGGAGCAATCCCACCTTGCGCCTTTCTCCAGTGTGTGTTGCTGTCACACTGTAATATGATTATCCACCTTTCAGCTGGGTGATCTTCAGCAAGTCGCTTAAACGACGCTCAATTTCTATCTCTGGAAATGAAGGCGATAATACCTATGCTGCAGGGCTTTGGGAAGGATTAAGAGCCTCTCGATTTATTGGTACATACACAGTGAAAGATTTTATTTTTCTAATTCTTGCTACTTTTATACTCTGTCCAGCTTTCCCTTCCCTTTGGATAATAAGCTTCCTTAAATATGGTTCACTTCTGTTCTACTACTTCTCAGTCACCTTAAATATTAAACATGGCCTAGTTTCTATTTTTACAGCCTGGTCCACCTGGTTTTGAAGCCACCTCCTAAAAGTTCTCTTCCTGGGCCCCAGCCCAGGTTGTGCTCGTGCTTTCAGTAGCCTGGGGCAGGAGTTGCATGCGGTACGTACTCTGCTCTTCCTTCTTCCCTGGCTTTCTTCCTCTGTTGGGGTGGGAAGGAGGGAGAAAGAGGTTGATGTTTGTTCTCACCCAACTACTGGTGAGTGAGTGGCTGTTCTCTTCTCTTCTACATTGCTCATAACTCTTGTTCCCTTTTGTGAGCAAACCCACAGGGATCTTTCGAGGTGAAGGTGGGTGACCTTCTTTTTGGTTGTCTCTGCTTCTCAGTCTGATTCTGGAAGTGCTGGCTGTTTCTCTCTAGGGGCCAGTGTCCAAATGCAGGCTCTCTTGTACAGGCTGTTTGTAGTTCTTTGCGGAGGGGGGCTCTCTGGGGACTGCTCTCTACCCAGGCCCCTGGCTGGGAGGCCCAGCTGAGGCTTGACATCTTCCTCTTCCTTCAACCCTCCCACCCCCGGGTAAGTCCATCCTACAGCCCCTGTGGGCAGAGGTTTAAGCCCCAGGCACCTTTCTGAGGTTCACTCCACCCAAGAGAGAATCCCCTATCGTTACAGTGAGAACGCAGCTCACCCACCCTTCCTCTCTCCGACCCACCAACTCTCACCTACCCCTTTCTCTACAACCAACAGCATCAGCCTTAGAGTTCTAGGTTCTACACAGGTCCAGGTGTTCACAGAGATTTCAGAAGTGAAATAAACTGCCCTCCCAACTTTGAGAGGAGGGTGAGGGAAAAGATGTTGGGCTTTCCCAGTATCTTCCCATTCCCAAGTCAAATGGCCTGCCATGACAAGGGGGAGAGGAAGGAGAGCTGAGAGCACACAGAATCAAGATTCCCCTCCCAGTACCTCTCTGGACTCTATGCCCCATCCCTTCACTTCTCACTGATGAAGGCCATCAGACTTGCTCTGCTCTGGCACCTGGAAGCACACGGGAAGTCCTTCACCAAGAGCTAAACTTTCTTGAAACGAGGTTTGGAGGAATCTAGCAACTCAACAGGGTGCTATCTCTACTGCAAACCCAATGTTACCTGGCAACTTCCAGTGACATGAAAATATGCTGTTTCAGACCAATCTGCTTCATTCAGAAAGAGAAAACAAGTACCGAGCGCATTGTTAGCGTATGATCATTAACACCAGCAGTTATTGTCCTTGTCTTGACTGGGGACTCTTTCAGAAAAGAGACTATAGGTTGTTAAATTCATTTCAGTTCGCTCTACCAATTATCAGTTCAAGACCTTATGTGCCCTAGACACATGGCTAGCCATGACCTCAAGGGGCTTATGCCCTAGTGTGGGAGATAACAAGGAACCAGATGATTCGGGAAAGAGTGAAGGGAGCATCACAGGCAAGTTTCCCAGCAGAACGGACCATGAGCTAGTCCTCCCAGCCTGAATAAGAGTTAGCCTGGCAAAGAGAGTTTTAAGTAGAGGAGAGAGCCCAGCCAAAGGCCTAGAGGTACAAGGCAGGCTGATGTGTTTGGGAAACTGACAGGGATTCAATCTGACTGAGAGAAGAGCACTGGGGTGAGAGGCAGAGATTGAGGGCACAAAGAAAGATGAGGCTGAAGAGGTAGATGGAACCACGGATGAGAAGTACTGTGGGCCATGTCAATGACTGTGGAGTCTCTCTAGGAGTCCTAGGAAGCCATGAATGGGCTTGAAACAGGGGTAGAACTTGATATGATTTCCAGCTTGGGAAGATTATCCTGGCTGCACTCAGGAGAAAGAATTGGTTAAGAACAAGAGTAGAGTCAGGAAGATCTATTTGGAGGCTAGTGGCCTGGACTAAAGTATCATCAGAGAGACCAAGAAAAGCATGAAGACCAGAGACATGCAGAAGGCGCATTCAGCAGCCTTTGACAATTGATAGAATGTAGTGATTGGAGGAGAAGAATATGCAAGTATGATGCCCAGGTTCTGGCTGGAGCAACTGAAGCATAGTAGTGCTACTTTCAAAGCTAGATGGTGCCAGGGGTAAAACATGTTTGGCTCAGGAAATAGCAAGGTGGTGTATTTAATATCCTACATTATTTATATACCACTCACGACAACCCTGTAAGATAGATAACACTCTTCCCATCTCATAAATGGAGACACTAACAGTCCGTGAGGCGAAAAGTCATAAAGTCAGGAGGACGTGGAGCTGGGACAGAACTCCTCTTGACTGTAGGAGCCCCCAGGAACAAGGGATCCCCAACAGGCCAAACTGCCAAGATCACCTTGGGGCTGGTCGTCATTAACATCACCCTGGAAGCTCGCACTTCCCCTTTAGGGGAGCAAAGGAAGAAAATCTAAGAGACATCACCCGGAGTCATTTCTGTCCAGCTCAAATTCCCCACCAGACTGGGTTGGGGCCTGGACTTTCTTTATCTCCACCACACAATTTGCCAACCCTTCACCCACAGTTAAAACAGTCCCTGTACATAGGGAGGAAACATCAGGCAAAAGGTAGCATTTCCTCTTATGGGGGAATTGTCCCCACCTACTCCCTAGCCTCGCCTTGCACACCCATGGTTCCTTGGTCACTGTGGTCTTGGTGTCACAGCAATGTTCATCCCCCTTGCTTCTTCAGGAAAGCATGCCAAAAAGAAGTAACATGCCACCACAATTATTAAACCACTTCTCTCTGCTCAGTGCTGGGCTTAGATCAACTAATGCTCTCTGATGTCTGTAACTCCTGGAGTTCTGGAGTTTGCAGGCCTCAACCTTCTCCCTTTCTCAGCAAATGCAATGAACTACCAGATCTGTATCAAACACCTACCATATGCCAGTCATCGTGCCTGGCACAATGGAAAGCTCAAGGATAAAGAAGACTCATTATCGGCCAGGGCAGTTTTGTCTACAGAACCCAAGTTAAAGTCATAAATTCAAAAGATGGGGAAACCAAACATTTTTGAGCACCCACTATACTCCAGATACTATATTAGTGCTTTCCATGTGGCATCTCATTCAATTCTCACAACAAGCCATGAAATAGAAATTATTTTCCATATTTTATATACAGTGGGAGAAGAAACTCAGTGTAGCAAAGACTGACAAACCTTGAGGAAACTCATTTCTCTTTTACCTGTTCATACATGTAGACTACATTTCCCAAAATCCCTTGCAGGTATGGCTATGGGTATGAGTCCTGACCAAGAGGAACTCTGGTCCACAGAAACTCTGTGTGATCCTTCATTTTCCCTCATCTCTCTGTCACAGCCAGAAGAATCCTGGAAGCCACATGTTGAAGATGACAGAGACACCTTGGGTCTGATTCCTGGAATCTCTGCATGGTTAGTGAGAAAATTCTATTGTCATAAGCCACCAATGTTCAGGGGTTTATCCATTACTATAGCTAACATTTGTTAATGAACACAAAAGATTTCAAAGACACCAAATTACCTGCACAAAGTCAACCAACTTGTTAGTGGCAGAAAACAGATTTATTTAAATTTAGGTTTACCGAAGCCACATATTTTACCTATGGTTTGGGAGGTCTGGAGAGGTTTCCTGAAAGAGGTATAACTTCATCATGGCCATAGCAAATACGGATGATTTAAAAAGACAGAAAGGAGGGTGGCAAAGGGTCAGAGAAAGGAGGCTATAAAGTATTCTTAAGGAATACGAATGGAGTAAAGGTTCTACAATGGAAAATTACAGGAGGGAAAATTGGAAATGTAGACTGAGCTGTAACCATCAGAATGAATTAGGCTACATTGCATTAACAAACAGAATCAAAATCTCAATGGCTTAACACAACCAGAGTTTATTTCTGGTTCACACGACATGTTCAGTGTGGATCTGCAGGCGTCTGACATGCATCACTTCTGGTCATATTTCTTTGGTCAAAGAAAGTAATATCACCACATTTAAACTCAAAGTTAGAGGAAATATAATTCTACCATACACCCAGAAAGCAAAGATCTGGAAATATTTGATAAATAGCACTAATGGCTACTAAAAAATAAGAAGGTCCTAGATATCAAAGTAGAGAAATATATGTTCCCTTAGGAAATATTTTTATTAGAGGATTAACCATGTAAGTTTTATCAGAAGCAGGAATTCTTATTTTTGCCAGATATGGAGCAGAATTATAGACAGAAAGACTGGATAGAGCTTATAGAAAGGTAGTTTGGATATGGATATGTACTGGGAATTTTAGGAATGTGTATATATCTTTTTCCCTTCAAATTTCTTTGTTTTACAAGAATTGCACCCAGGGATGCAAGGTTTCTTCAATGTATGCAAATCAATCAATGTGATACACCATATTAACAAATTGAAGAATAAAAACCACATGATGATCTCAATAGATGCAGAAAAGGCTTTTGACAAAATTCAACACCAATTTATGATTAAAAACTCTCCAGAAAGTGGGCATAGAGGGAACCTACCTCAACAAAATAAAGGCTATATATGACAAACCCACAGCAAACATCATTCTCAATGGTGAAAAACTGAAAGCATTTCCTCTAAGATCAGGAACAAGACAAGGGTGTCCACCTTTGCCACTATTATTCAACATAGTCTTGGAAGTCCTAGCCATGGCAATCAGAGAAGAAAAAGAAATAAAAGGAATCCACATTGGAAAAGAAGAAGTAAAACTGTCACTGTTTGCAGATGACATGATACTATACATAGGAAATCCTAAAGATGCCACCAGAAAACTACTAGAACTAATCAATAGATTTAGTAAAGTTGCAGGATACAAAACTAACACACAGAAATCTTTTGCATTCCTATACACAAATAATGAAAGATCAGAAAACGAAATTAAGGAAAAAATCACATTTACCATTGCAACAAAAAGAATAAAATACCTAGAAAAAACCTACCTAAGGTGGCAAAAGACCCGTACACAGAAAACTATAAAACACTGATGAAAGAAATCAAAGATGACACAAACAGATGGAGAGATATACCACGTTCTTGGATTCGAAGAATCAATATTATGAAAATGACTATACTACCCAAAGCAATCTACAGGTTCAGTGCAATCCCTATCAAATTACCAATGGCATTTATCACAGAACTAGAACAGAAAATTTTACAATTTGTATAGAAACACAAAAGACCCCGAATAGCCAAAGCCATCTTGAAAAATAAAAGCAGAGCTGGAAGAATCAGGCTCCCTGACTTCAGACTATACTACAAAGCTACAGTAATCAAGACAGTATGGTACTGGCACAAAAACAGAAATATAGACCAATGGAACAGGATAGAAAGCCCAGAGATAAACCCACACACCTATGGTCACCTAATCTATGACAAAGGAGGCAAGAATATACAATGGAGAAAAGACAGCCTCTTCAATAAGTGGTGCTGGGAAAACTGGACAGCAACAATGTAAAAGAATGAAATTAGAATTCCCTAACACCATACACAAAAATAAACTCAAAGTGGATTAAAGACCTGAATGTAAGGCCAGATACTATAAAATTCTTAGAGGAAAACATAGGCAGAACACTCTCTTGACATAAATCGCAGCAAGATCTTCTTTGACCCACCTCCCAGAGAAATGAAAATAAAAACAAAAGTAAAAAAATGGGACCTAATGAAACTTCAAAGCTTTTGCACAGCAAAGGAAACCATAAATAAGATGAAAAGACAACCCTCAGAATGGGAGGAAATATTTGCAAATGAAGCAACTGGCCAAGGATTAATATCCAAAATTTACAAGCAGCTCATGCAGCTCAATATCAAAAAACAAACAACCCAATCCAAAAATGGGCAGAAGACCTAAATAGACATTTCTCCAAAGAAGACATACAGATGGCCAACAAACACATGAAAAGATGCTCAACATCACTAATCATTAGAGAAATGCAAATCAAAACTACAATGAGGTATCACCTCACACCGGTCAGAATGACCATCACCAAAAATATCTACAAACAAATGCTGGAGAGGATGTGGAGCAAAGGCAACCCTCTTGCACTGTTGGTGGGAAAGAAAACTGATATAGCCACTATTGAGAACAGTATGGACGTTCCTTAAAAAACTAAAAATAGAACAACCATATCACCCAGCATTCCCACTACTGGGCATATACCCAGAGAAAACCATAATTCAAAAAGACACGTGCACCTCAATGTTCACTGCAGCACTATTTACAATAGCCAGGACATGGAAGCAACCTAAATGTCCATCAACAGAGGAATGGATAAAGAAAATGTGGTATATATATACAATGGAACACTACTCAGCCATAAAAAGGAACGAAATTGGGTCACTTGTAGAGATGTGGATGGACTTAGAGACAGAGTGAAGTAGGTCAGAAAGAGAAAAGTAGATATCATATATTAACACATATATGTGGAATCTAGAAAAATGGTATAGATGATCTTATTTGCAAAGTAGAAATAGAGACACAGCCATAGAGAACAAATGTATGGATACGAAGGGGGAAACAGGGGGTGGGTGGGATGAATTGGGAGATTGTGACTGACATATATACACTATTGATGCTATGTATAAAATAGATAAATAATGAGAACCCACTGTATAGCACAGGGAACGCTACTCAATGCTCTGTGGTGACCTAAATGGGAAGGAAATCCAAAAAATAGGGGATATATGTATATGTATAGCTGATTCACTTTGCTGTACAGCAGAAACTAACACAACATTGTAAAGCAACTATACTCCAATAAAAATTAATTTTACAAAAGCTATAAAAAAAGAATTGCATGATATTTAAGTCTTTGGTTCTGGACTCAGACAAATCCAGCCTCTGCCCCCTACCAAGTAGGTCATACTGAAGAAGTTACCTGGCCTATCTTAGGCTTTCTCACCTGTAAGATGAGAATGACAGTAACTGCTATCTTATAAACTTGTTTGAGATTAAATATGATTTAATACATGTAAAATCCCTTAGTAAATTCTTTTAAAAAATATTAGCCACTGCTAAACACTCAAGAATTCACAAAGGTATACACATTCTTCGTAGCACTGTTTGTAATAGTAGAAAATTTGAAAGTCTCTTTTGTTCCATCAATGTAAAGATTATCACGTGTGTGCAGAGAGACAGAGAAGAAAAAAGAATATGAAATTGTTATTTTTTAATAAGACAGAATCATATATATTGATCTGGAAAGATATACATAATATATTGTGGAAGTGGGAAAAGCAAGTTGCAGAACACAATGCATAGCTTGGTTTCAAGTGTGTGTGTATATATACAAGTCACGATAAGTATATTAAGTCGTGGTAAGTCCTATAAAATATTTTAAAGATTATGTCATAGAGAGTGATTGGTTGGGGATGGGATGCTATTTTAAATTGGGTGATCAGAAAGAACCTCGCAGAGCAGAGCTGTGAATGACAAAAAATTATGTATAAAAAAGAAATCACAACCCAGCACCCAGATATTGGTATGTAATACTATTCTCCAATAAAAAAACAAAAAACAGGGCTCCTTGGAGAAATGGCTGATTCTCCAATGGCAGAAAATAGAGAGGATGAGCCTACAGCACCTTGTAGTGCCAGAAAGTAAGAAAATGCTCAAGAAACAAAAGAATGGAGGCATGCCCCAGGGACACAGGAGCTGACTAAAAGAGCTCCTAAGGACCAAAGGTGGAACAATTTAGCAATGAAATAAGTAAGGTAGTATTGGATTCACCCCAAAGTATAAACTAATATTTATGAGTCCATACTGATAGAAATAAATGAGTAAATAAACAAATGCAGGAGGACAGACAAATCTCCGATGATAAGAAATTCCAAGTAATTTATGTAGATATTCTGCCCTCAAGGAAGTGAAGCATAACTCCATAACTCTTTGAGTTTGGGCTGAGCAAAGCGACTTCCTTCCTGAGAGCAGAGTATGGAAAAGCGGGGGGTGGGGGGGAACGGTTAACTTTATAGGAGAGAAATCTGACAAGTATTATCTCAGCCAAGAGATCAAGCTTAGCATCATCAGTGATAAGTCACGTCGATAGCAGGTATCCTTGACATGATATGATGAGAAGGGCACTTCACCTCTGTGGTCTTCCTCGCAAAACCTATAACCCCAGTCTAATTATAGAAAAACATCAGACAAACCCCAGTTGAAGGACAAACTATTAAAAAAAACCTGCCCTCAAAATTATTTAGATCATCAAAACCAAGGAAAGTCAGAAACTGTCACAGTCCTGAGGAGTCTTAAAAAAACAAAACCAAAAAAACCCCCCAAAAACCACTAAATGTAACATGGTATCCTGAATGGGATCCTTGAACAACAAGGAAAAGTCCTCGGGGGAAAACTGAGGAATTTAAATACATTACAGACTTTACTTAATATTGTTTCAATACTGCTTCATCAGTTGCGACAAATGTACCATACTAATGTAAGACATTACCAGGGAAACTGTACTATCTTTGCAACTTTTCTATAAATCTTAAATGACTCTAAAATAAATACTTTATTTTTTATTGAATTGATGCCTATGAACAGAAGAAAACTGTGGTATATTCACGCAATGGAATACTATTCAACAATTAAAAGGAAAAGATTAGTAATAGATGTTATAACACAGTTGTATCTTAAGGATATTGTACTAAGTAAAAGAAGCCAAACACAAAAAAAGTACATGCTGTATGATTCCATTTACAGGGCATTCTAGTATAGGCAAAAATAACCTTTGGCAACAGATGTGAAAACAGTGGTTATTTGGGGATTACCAATAAGGCGAGAATTGACTAGGAAGAAACATGAGGAAATTTTCTGGGTTGATGGAAATGTTTGGTGTCTTGATGCGCGTTCATCAAAATTGCTTGAATGGTATACTTAAGATCTGAATTTAAAATATATATTAAATATGGGACTTCCCTGGTGGCACAGTGGTTGAGAATCCGCCTCCTAATGCAGGGGACACGGATTTGATCCCTGGTCCAGGAAGATCCCACGTGCCACGCAGCAACTAAGCCTGTGTGCCACAACTACTGAGCCTGCGTGCCACAACTACTGAGCCTGCACTCTAGAGCCCGCGAGCCACAACTACTGAGCCCGCATGTTGCAATTACTGAAGCCTGTGTGCCTAGAGCCCGTGCTCTGCAACAAGAGAAGCCACCACAATGAGAAGCCCACGCACCACAACAAAGAGTAGCCCCCGCTCGCCGCAACTAGAGAAAGCCCACACCAAGCAACAAAGACCCAACGCAGCCTAAATAAATAAATAAATATAAATAAAATTAAATTATAAATGTAAAATACATATTAAATATACGTATTATAAATACATCTAAAATATATAAAAATGATTTAAAATGTTAAGTATATAAAATCAATTTTAAATATACATTAAGTTGTGAAAGGAAATAAGAAAGAAAGTGAGGGAGGGAGAGAGGAAAAAGATGTTTTAGAAGCCTAGGACATTTGCATTACAAGAAAAATTAAAATCATGTTTAATTAATTCACTTAGAGAAAAGCACTTGTTTTTAACCTTCCAGACACAAACACAACAAAAATGGGATCATACTGCTCATATTAGTTTGTAGTCATTTTCTAAATTAACAATATAGTTTGTAATGTGTCCTTCAATAACACGGCACCTACTGGAATACAACGACATTGTACAGCACAATTATATTGTATAACCTTGTAGAGACACGTGGCAAAACCTGCTAGCTCTCTCACTAGGGATTTTTCCAAGGGGCACTTAGGCAGGAATAGTCTTAAAGAAACTGGTGACTAGATCATCTCTGTCCATTTGGATACTTTCCTAAAACTGACCCGCCTGAGAATACATCTTTGGTCAAGGTAAGGCTTTGGGCTTATCTTCTGGGTTCCCACTTTCCCTTTCAAAGTCACTTTTTTCTCTCTGTACAATAGAAAGACACAATTTTCATCCAACCTGAACATGATGATGAAGATGGTGGTGATGATGATGATACAGGTTGTCAAAAGGGATAATTCAAAATGTAGGTGTCAACTTTGAAAAAGCAAGCTAAGAACTGGATAACAAATTCCTTCACAAGTCAGATGGTTTCCAATTCTTGTTTTCAACAAAACTGATGGAGTGAGTTGTCAACTGAGAGATGATTAAAAATAATATTTGATGGTAGACTACTGTGTGATTTTTCACATTCCCTCAAAAAGAGTTCAAGGAATTGAGAGACATTGCTATAAAATAATTCCTTCCATTTCCATTTATTTATTTATGGAACAAGGTTTTTCGGTGCTTGAATCTAGGAAAATAAAATCAGAAATATAATTGATGGTTATGCCTATACTTCCTATCACTAGTAACCATACACAGACACATAAATCAGTTTTTTAAAAGCCTCATCCCTCTCTTTAAGAGATAACTTTTTGTTTCACATTTGCCAAAATATATGCTATGCTTACATTATTTTAATCAATTGTATAGTATCAATAATTATAATGATAATCTGAAGAAAAAATTTAATACTTTAGAGTCCCGTAGCCACTTTAAATTAAAATTTCCACTTCTATAAATATTATTGTGGCTGAGAGGTATGATAAAGTGATCAATAAAAAAAAATTGTTCAAGCAGGAAATATATATTAGAAAAAAATCTGTAGAGGAAGCAGAATGAGAAAAGGAATGATAGAAAATTTCCAGCTGTTTAAAACCATGTTTATTTATTTTTTAGATGGAGGATGGTGGTTATTGTATGGCAAAGGTATTTATATTCCATTGGATGTATCTTAAAAGGTGACACGTTATAAAGCAGAAACTAACACAACATTGTAAAGCAATTATACTCCAATAAAGATGTTTAAAAAACAAAGGTGACACAAGAGTTTTATTTTTTATGTCAACATTTACAATAGGCCAGAAATTTTATCCTTCATATTCATATATGCCTGTGATAAAAAATAAAAAGTTTCAGAGACAATCTAAAAGTGTACAAGGTAGTCTATAATTTTTCAAAATTCCTTTAAAGGATATGTGAGCAAAAATGTTTGAAGACCTTAGGCCTACCCAATACACATTCATTCTTTCTTCCTTTTGTTCCTTATACCAGAACTGCTGGCAATGTGCCCAGCTAAAAATCGAAGTCTCTTTGCAGATAAATACAGACAGGTGACTAAATGCCGGCTAATGACATGCTCACTTTTGCCATTTCTGCCTTCCACATGAGGTGTGAATACAATGGCAGGAGCTCCAGCAACCACTTTTGGCCATGCACTAAGAACAGCAGTACTGAAAGACAGAAGGAAATTGGGTTCTAGATGACTTTGTCACTCCTCCCTACCAACCACAAACTCCCTACCTCCAGGTTTCTTTTAGGAGAGAAAAATAAATCCATACATCTCTAAGTCACTATTATTTGGGGGTTTCTGTTATACAAAGCCAAATATAATCCTGCCTGGTAGAGTGGCTATAGCATGTTTCATATAATCAATCAATCATCAAACATTCAGGTGTTTTCAGATTACGCTATTTATTATAAACCATACTGTGATCCTTATAAGATGTACCTTTGGATACATGCATAGTCATTTTTCTAGGAGACAGTCTAAAAAGTAAATTCTGGGTCAAGAATGTCTTGATACATAGTCAATTTTTTTTCTTTACAAAGGTTAATTTACACTCACATCAATAGTATGCGAGGGACTTCACTAGTGGCGCAGTGGTTAGGAACCCGCCTGCCAATGCAAGGGACGAGGGTTCGAATCCTGGTCCGGGAAGATCCCACATGCCACGGAGCAGCTAAGCCTGTGAGCCACTACTGAGTCTGTGTGACACAACTACTGAGGCCCAAGCACCTAGAGCCCGTGCTCCGCAACAGGAGAAGCCACCACAATGAGAAGCCCGCGCACCGCAAAGAAGGGGAGCCCCCGCTCGCCGCAACTAGAGAAAGCCCACACACAGCAATGAAGACCCAGTGCAGCCAAAAATAAATACATAAATTTATTTTAAAAAATAGTATATGAGACTACAAGAACTCCACATACCTTCATCATCATTGGGTAGTCTTTTCTCTTAAATACTGCAATTTGATAGAAAGGAAAAAGGTTTATTTGTACTGTTTGTTAACTAATAAAGTTAAGCTCTTTTCCTGTGACATTTCCTAATGGCATTGTTTTTTATTATTATTTTTAAAAATTAAGAAAAAGAGCTAAAAGTATTTTTGCTCCAGATTAAGATAAGGTTGGAGAACTAGAGGCAAGGCTACCTCTGGGGTATCTGTAGAAATAAAGCTCCATGGCAACAAGGAAGTTGTCTGTCTTATACCGTGTTCTGTGTCTGGCACATAGTAGGCACTCATTAAGTAATTGCTGGATGTATGAAAGCCACAATCTTACTATGTGACTTCCAACAGTTAATTCCCTGCTCTGGGCCTCATTTTCCTGATTAATAAACTAACAGGATTGAATGAGTCTCTGTCATGGTCTTTTCCAAGTCAAACAACTTTTTATTCGAAGAGAGTCAGATCCAAGCAATGCCTATAGAGTATCAAGTGGGAAATACTCCCTTCCTTTGGGGCTATTTCTATTCGTTCTATTCGTCAGAAAGACCAGAGGCACAAGGGGATAAAATAAATAGAAAAGGACAATTTAACATTCTTTTTTGTTCTTCTTCTTCCACATTACTAGAAAACAAAAGCATTACAAAGGCAGTGGGAAACACCAGGAATATCTCTCTTCTCCTAAAATCATCCTCTCAGGACTGGGAGTAGACCCTAACTCTAGTCTAATGTCTATATCCTCTCATTCTGTTTGAGCCCAGACTTTGAAGTCAGAGAGGCCTGGGTTTGACTGAGCAAGTATGGGTAAATGAGAGATAATGATATCAGTACTGCAGGTATCAATTGAGATTAGGTATATACCCTGTACATAGAAGGGGCTCAATCAGTGGTAATTCCCGTGGTGGTACCCAGTCCCAAGTACCAAGTAGCCAAGCAGTGGTGGCAGTGGTTTTTTCCTAGAAAAGCCCTCACGGTGTACTTGGTCATGGTTTTGGCTACATTCATTTTGGATTCTTGCTCTCTGGCCCTCTTGGAGAGTCTGAGAGTTTCCTAAAACCCTTTCAAAAATTCCTTTGCTACTTAAATGAGCCAGAGTGGATTCTTCTGTCTGCAGCGCAGAACCAGGACTGTAGTAGCTTCTGTCAGCCACCACGTTTTATAAATCATTTAGTCTAAATCCCAAAAGAAGAGTTTTATTGGAAAGAAGCTTTAGTCTACCCATGCAGCTCAGCAACTATCCTTGACTTTATCGAATATGGATTCAAATTCTGCCCTAGTCAACTTGTGTGTAAACTGTCTTCTCAGCTCAACAGAAGCCCCTTAGAAACAGAGGCAGCCTCTTGAAGCCCAGTGGAAAATGACCAGAGGAATGACTGGGGATGAGGAGATAAGGTCCTGAGTCCAGCACTGGAAACCCATGTAGCCCAAGGCACATCCTTTCCATACTGTGGGCCTTGGTTCCCCAGTCCGTGAAATGGGAAGACGGCATCTAGCCCAGGAAACTGATAAGAGGTCAAAAGGACAAATAGATATGAAGACCCCTTGTCAACTGAAGACCTAAGGGACACTTTAAATAGTGTCTTTTTCCATCTACCTCCCATGAAAGGCAGGGACTGGGTCAGACTTTCCTCTTTCTGGACCCTTAGCTTGGTGATCAGGTCTCTCAGACCAGGGGCAGGGCCAAAACATGAGTCACATCGCCCCCTGGTGGATTTAAAGGGAAAGGGTATGGCTTTCAAATGGGTGACAAAGCTACAAAAACAGAACTCACAGAATCCTAGAATTCCAGAAGTGAAAGGGCTCTCCGAGACCATTTAATCTAACATCCTCATTTAAATATGGGACACTAATAAAGGGCCAAGAGGAAAAGTGACTTTCCTGAGGTCATACCAAGAACAAAGGTCAGAGCCAGGGCCAGATCCCAGACCCTAATGACCATCCAGAGCAGAGGTCATCCTCTCTGACATGAAACACAGAAACCCTCAGTGGTCAGTGTCCACATGACCTTGAACCCTCGGCACAGCTCAGTTATACTGTCAGCAAGTAGTGCTTTAGCTGAACTCTGACCAAGATTGGGTAATTTCCCCACCCAGTTATGCTGTCAAAAAGTTTTACTTCTTTTTAAAACCTACCGTGTCAATGTTTTGATTTCAATACAAACAAACCAAGCTCTAACTATGGCAACTTCTTAGAAACTTAGAAAATATTCTCAAGCATGACTGGATAATTCTAAGAGAAAAGAACAGCAGAATGTTTGACTTCTCCATGAACGAGAGAAACCCTTTTTTTCAGACACCAATCTCTCCCACAGGTGATTGTCTATGAAGATAGAAGAGTCCAGAGGAATTGAATGCAAATCACCTTCACATCAATGCAACTGCCAACCTGAGTTTGACTTATGTAAGACGCCACATTCTAATGGTGCCCAATTAGTCATCATAATAAATGCTAAAAGAAGTGGGTCGTGTTGGGTCTTTGCAATGGAGTGAAAATTTCCCATTCAAGACAATTCTTAGAAGTCTTATTTTTAGCCTCTAAATCCCTTTGGAATCTGAACCGGCCACAGGGAAGACTTCATTCAAGGTAGGGCTCAAATAAGCCACCTGAGTTCTGTCCCCAGAGACAGCAGGTGGGACTTTGAGTGAGTTACCCTCCCCCCAGCTCTCTCATGGGTAGCAGGGGGCCATCCAGTAGGTCCTGCCAGCCTTGCAGGGTTACTGAGAGGATCTAGTGGACTTCATCCCAGATCACACATTTTAATCCCCCACTCAGGAAGAGCCTGAGTATTCGTACCATGTCTAGACAGGATCCTGAAGCTTAGCCTGATTCAATCCTCTATTTATTATTTTTACTCAACAATATCTGGTATTGAGTGATTACAGTAACACTATTCTAAGACGTTCTCATGGCTTAACCCAACTTCCATGAAAACTCTGTACAGAAGGCACTATTAATTATCCCCATTTTCGAGATAGAAAAATTGAGGCTCACAGAGGTTAAGTAACTCATCCAAGATCAAACAGCTAATAAGTGAAAGAGTCAGAATTTGAAGCCAACTCCACCTGACTTCGTAGTCCATTCTCTTAAATCCAACCCCACTCGGAAGATTATCTTTACCATCCATTAGCTAAATCCTAGTAGGGAGTGGGACTTCAATCCAGAACTGAAGGTCAAAATCACAAAAGGTTCTGTTTCAGTTTGAGCCCAGTGTCCTCCCAAAGGCACCTCTAAACTGAATTTTCATGCTTATTCTAAGCATTTTTGTCCTCACTCAGCTTCCTTCTAGCAACATAAGTATATATCTGTAGTAACAGCCAGATAGGAAGTGACACCACGTTGGGAGCCCATTAGGTGTTTCCTCCTTCTGAAGGCAATATGAAATTTTTAAGAAGAATAAAGGCTTTGGAGTCAGACAGGCCCAGATTTCAGACCCAGCTCTGCCATCTCTGCTACCTGCTTGTCCTTGGGGATTTACAGCGGCCCCCCTTATCCATGGCGGATACGTTCCAAGACCCCAGTGGATGCCTGAAACCACTGATAGTACTGAACCTTTTTTCTGTTCATGTCTTCCACCCACAAATTTAATGCCTTTTCCATCTTGACTAAGTACTTATCACACACTGTGGCCGTAACTTCTGTAGTCTGAGGTGCTACAGCAAAACTAGCACAAATTTCTTTTTCCTTCCTCACAATTTCACAGGTAAGATTCTGTCTTACCGTAGATCTTAGCAATTTCAGCATCTGATTTTTTTTTTCTCTGTTAAGTCAGGAACTTTCTCCTTTTCACCTATCGGAGCACTTTATGGTTTCTCTTTGGCAGATCCAAACTGCCAGCATTACGCCTCTTGTGCTTTGAGCCATTATTAAGTAAAATAAGGGTTCCTTGAACACAAGCACTGTGATACCATGACAGTCAATCTCATAACCAAGAGGTGCTACTAACTGATTAACAGACGGGAATGAGAATGGCTGGACAAAGCGATGATTCACATCCTGGGCAGATTCACATCCTGGGCAGGTCAAGGCAGACAGCTCGAGTTTTTATCACACTGAAGTCTAAAACTTATGAATTGTTTATTTCTGGAATTTTCCATTTAACATTTTTGGATCATGGTTGACCATGGGTAACTGGAACCGTTGAAAGCAAAACCACAGATAAAGTGGGGATTACTGTATTCCCTCTGGGAATCTTGGAAAATGTGGATAATAATATCAACATTATACTGTTGTTATGAGAATTAGTTCAAACCCATCCATGAATACCTAGCAGTGTCTGGCAGGCACACAGTAAGCATACAAAACATAGTGGCAATTAGCAGACAATCAGCCTGCATTCAGAGACTTATTTTCTTCCTATGCCAACCCCAGTAGCAAGAGGTGATGGTGGGCATCTGGGTAGGAGGATGCACACCTGTGACCTGCAGCATCACGCAGTGAGATGTGCATTGGCTTTAGATTGATTCCCAGTTCTGCGATGTTAAGCAGATTGCTTAATTTTGCTGAGACTCAGTTTTCTTCCCCATAAACAGAGGCAATAAATTCTCATTATATTTTATGTATCTTCATGATACTTACCATCCAGTCAGGAAACCAGGGTACAGACATAAAAATAAAAGGAAGATTAGAGCATCTCAAATAAAAAATGTGAAAAGTCCTTCAATGATGTAAGCTACTGAGTTAAATATTCTGAACTACCTTTATTTATTTTAAGAAATGAAATATTTATAAGAAATACTAATAATACAA